CTGCCCGTGAGGCTGGGTGTTAGAACGATCCCTGAAAGCTCTGGCATTGGGAGATGGGGCACTGGTGGGATGGACTGGGAGAGGCAGCTGCATGGTTCTCCTCCCAGGCTAGGCAGAGTGCTGGGAACTGCTCCGTCAGTTTTGCGGAGGAGAGAGCGCCCGGGGGATGAAGCGGAAGGCTCCGGCGCCCGGCGGGTTCCGAGAGGCTGTGCGGAGAGCAGAGGAGGCGTCGGGAGTCCCTGGTTGTCCTGGGAGCCTCTGGCTCCACGGTGCTTGCAGTTAGGTTGTTTTTGGCTCCCTGTGGTGTTCTCCGAGCAACAACATAACGTTTTCTTCCGGACTTGCTTTCCAAAAATCGGGCTTGTGCTCCTGCAAGCGCCGTGCCTTGAGGCTGTGCTGCAGCAGTGGGGTTTCACCCGCCTTTTCTCGTCTCGCTGTGGTGGCAGGTGCAGCAGAAATGGAGTCCCAGGACATCGAGGAGCTGCAGCAAGAAGTGATGGAGGAGCTGGGAATCTCCATGGAGGAGCTCCGGGATATCATCGACGAAGAGCTGGAGAAGTCAGAGTACGTGAAGCAGAAGAGGCAACAGCTGGAGGAGCTGGAGAAGTGTGTGAAACAGAAGGAAGAAGAGATGGGTCACGTTGACTGGCTCTTTGGCGACGCTTCCAGGTGAGCGTGCTGGGAATCACAGCCGCACGGCGGAGGTGGGGGAGATGGGGTGGCAGGGTCCAGTGTCTGGGCACTGCCCATTTCCCTTCGGAGCAGACTGACGCTGTGATTCCGTGTCGGTTCGTTTGCCTGTGGTCACTGAGGGATAATTGCAGTTATTCCCCCGTGGCTTTAAATCCTTCCTGGGAATTCTGTTCCCTCGCCTCGTCGTGGCTGTGTTTAATGAGCAGCTCCCCAGCGGTCGGTTCCGGTTTCTTTCAGCGGCATTGGTGGGACGTGCTGCTGGTCTCACCTGCTGTCTCTGCCCTTCCTTTTCCCCAGAGACCTCGATAAATGCAGGATCTTGCTGAAGAATCTGTACTCCGACCTGGGCCTCCAGTACTGCGGCAGCAGTTCCGAGGACGAGGACTCGGCTGCCAAGCCCATGGAAGTGATCGAGATCCCCGATGAGGATGACGACGATGTCCTGAGTATCGATACGGGCTGGAAGCACGGTGCAGTATCTCGTTGTGCCGTGGGGTACTGAGGGGAGGGATGGAGACCCGAGCGCGGCCTGGAGGAGAACGGGAGTGAGTGGGATCTGAATAAGGATGTTGTGAAGTTGGGCAGAACGAAGCAGGAGAGGATCAGGGAGGAAATGCCGTTAGCTCATGTGAGGAGCATCATGGCGTGCATGGTTTGCTGAGGCTCATAACCGTTCCCTGGATCCTGGAGTCCCAAATTGGTATTTTTTCCCTTTTCCCGATTGTTGTCCCCGTCAGTTGCTGCCTGTGCAGCGTGTCGTTCATCTCGAAAGGGCGGCTTAGCAGCAGCCTTGCTTGGGTGGATTTTGGGACAGGGACAGAGAAGGCTTTTGAATGGATGCTTTCTCTGTTCCCTCTGTTTCAGTGGCTTCACTAGGATGGATGTTTTTCCTCCCCAAGATGTTTTAAACCACTTTTTTTCTCTTTCAACACAGGCAATAGTAGTCCCAGAATCACAAAGGATCAGACTCGGGTGAGTTGGAAAAGACAAACCCGCAGTGGGGTTTTGCTGGAACCCTTCAGGCAGCGTTGCATTTGGTGCAGAAAAGAAAAGGCTCTTCGTGTTTTCCTTCTCTTCCCTTCAGCTGCGGGAAGCCATGGCTGCCATGAGGAAGTCTGCCCAGGATGTTCAGAAATTCGTGGATGCCGTAAACAAGAAAACGAGTGCCCAGGACGCACAGGAAGGTCAGAGCTTCCCGGGGTTGGCAGGTGGGCTGGTGCCGTGCATGCCCTCGCCCTGCTCCTGCCTGCTGCTTATGCCTTGTTCTGAACGGTGCCAGTTTCTCCATGAAAAAGAAAAGAACTGTTCTTTTTCCATTAGGATATACCGATTCCACACTTCAATTTTTCTTTAAGCTCTTTCTGAAAGGGAAGAAACGTGGTGCAGTTTCTGTAATGTGGAAGTTTTTTAATGATGTGTAAAACTCACTCCCTGATTACTTGGGCTGACTGAGGTGGAGGAAGGCTGAAGGATGCCTCCTGCCTCAGCTGCACCAGATGTTCTTCCCACCGCATGCCATAAAATCATGGATCTTTGGGCAGTTTCTAACCCCTTTTCTGGTTGTTGTTCCTTGGGCAGATGCACAGGCCCCTCAGGAAGCTCCGAGCACTGTCCAGCCCGCTGGCCCTGCAGCGACGGGGAGTGATCTCAGCAATGACGGTGACCTGAACGTTGGCATGAGGATCCTGGGCAAGAAGAGAACCAAAACGTGGCACAAAGGAACTCTGATTGCAATCCAGACGGTCGGTACGTCCCGCGCTTGCTGCTGGGTCTCGGTGCTGGTGGCTCTCCCTGAGCTTTGGGTGGGTGATGTTGATCAGGCTCCTGTGTCAGAAGACCTGGTGCCACCTGGAACGAGTTGTGAAAGCAACACGTCTCCACACAATGTTTTACCTTACAAATTAATTTCTGAAAGGCTTTCAGATAAGTTCTGAGCCTGGGTCAGAATGCTGCGTGGCGTTGGACCTGCCCTGGGAAATCACTTGGCTTTTGTTTATCTGGCTGAAACATCTTCTGAATGTTCATCTGAAACGTCTTCCAGGCGCTGGGAAGAAGTACAAAGTGAAGTTTGATAATAAAGGGAAGAGTTTGCTTTCGGGCAATCACATCGCTTACGACTATCACCCCTCCCCTGAGAAACACTACGTTGGCAGCAGGGTTGTGGCAAAATACAAAGATGGGAATCAAGTCTGGCTGTATGCCGGCATTGTGGCCGAAACCCCGAACGTGAAGAACAAAGACAGGTATGAATTCTCCTCCACCGTCACGTACCTCCCTCCCCGCTCTTTGTTTTGGTTTTTAGAGAGAAAAGAAAAGGAAAAAAAGTACATTTGTGTACTTGCTATCATGGGAGCTGAAATCTTTTCTGCCTTTTCCGGAGACGTGGCTCTGAGTGTTGATTCTTTGTCTTATCTCTGAAAGCTCTGGGTGGAGGTTTCGTTCTCTTACTCATGTCCCCGAGTCAGAAATTATATCTGGGAATTCATTCAAATTATCAAACAGACATAAGCCTGCGCTGCTCGGGGCACGAAACGGAGCGTTAGGAAACACGAGCTGGCGGAGCGTTGCCAGAGCACTTTTGGGGAGGAGCAGCAGGTGTGGAGCAGCCTTTGCAGTCTGTCGTGCAGCCCTTACGCGGCTCCGTAGCCCCAAGATGGTATTTAGAGGCGCGCAGCGCTAAGTGGGCGCTGTATCCAGCCTTGGGGGTACCCCTTTTCCAGCTCCTGGTCCCCCCCAGGCACTGGGGACACTCCCATGCTTGTCTCCTGTCTGCAGGGCACCCCGGAGGTGTCCCCCAGCTCCCTCCCTGTGGTGCTGTTGGGGTTGCCTTGTGCAGCCTCTGCTGCTGCTTTGCCCCAGAGACTCCAAAGATATGTTTTCTTGAAGAGAGTAGGAGCAATTAAACTGTCTTTTCTCTCCCTTTACCTCCTGTGGCCCAGGCACAGAGGGAATCTGGAGCTCAGGGAAGAGGGTCTGGCTGGGCTGTGCTGCTGGGAAGGCTTTGGGCAGCCTCCCTTTTGATTTGAGAGCACAGGAGTAGCTTGGGGCTGGGGGAGAGCCGTTCCGAGAGAACCCAGGGAAGTGGCAGTGCTGCAAAGCTCGTGGTCTCCTGGCAGAAGTGGTCACTTCGTTCTGGCCTCACCCACCGGGTGTGATCTGAGGGGCCTTTGGGACTGGCAGGAGGAACGAGAGTGGTGCTCCACTTCCATTACGTGATGCGAAGCTGCGTTTTATTCAGCTGCATTTTTAATTCCGACTTCCAACGCTGCTGTTCTCCAGGTTCTTGATCTTCTTTGATGATGGCTACGCTTCATACGTCAAGGAGTGGGAGCTGTACCCGATCTGCAGGCCACGTGAGTGATCTCTGCTCCTCCTGTGTCCTCACACTGAAGCTGTATGGAGAGCCTGTGGGTGTATGAAGGAGCCAGGGCTCAAAAGTCAGGGAATAGACTCATGTTCCCTTGGGTGCTGTGCCTGTAGACGTTTGCACATGTAGCTGGAGGAAATAGTGGTTTGTTACCAGCAGAGTGAGTGTGCTGTGACTCCTTGTGCTCTGGGTACGCTATCGTGGCTGGATGCCCCACCAAAAACTGGCCACTCGGGATTGCTGCTTGATTGTTCTTCTGTCAAAATCCATCTGGGATCTCTTTAAAAAAGAATTCAAGGTTCTCTTTCCTCCTCTACCCTTTCTCCCATCCGTCCCTTTCTGAACAGTGGAAAAGACCTGGGAAGACATAGAGGATGTCTCCTGTCGCGATTTCATTGAGGAGTACATCACAGCCTACCCCAACCGTCCCATGGTGCTGCTGAAGAACGGCCAGCTGATCAAAACGGAGTGGGAAGGGACCTGGTGGAAATCCAGAGTGGAAGAAGTGGATGGCAGTCTGGTCAAAATCCTTTTCCTGGTAGGGCGATTTCCCTTCTCCCAGTCGAAGGGGAAGCTGGGCTGGAATTTGTGTCGAGGAGGGCTGGCTCCGTTGGGCCGATCAAGTCTGGTTCCTCGCTGATGTCAGGCAGGGTCCTGGGGCGAGCCGGTGTTTCGCTCTCTAGGTAGGAAGTGTCTCCTGTGAGTTCATGCGGAGGTGAGACTCTCATTTGCATGAAGAAAGCTTCAGAAGCCTTTTAAAGCATTTTGCCTGTGAAACTTCAAAGTGGTAGATGAATAAGAAACGAAATCCATCACCTGTGGGTATTCCATCCTGGTCCCTTTCGTGGTGTAAACACAGAGCCATGTCTCCTGCCCAGACACGAGTGCTGGTTTGAGAAGCAGGAGAGAAACGGAGCAGAAGCCGCGATAATCCGCGCGCTCCAATTCTGCAGCTTGCAGAGAGGCAGCAGACGTAGAGTCTTGGCCCCCTCCCCGCCTCGGTAACCGCGTCGCCGCCGGGGCTGGGGAGGACGATGTACGCCCGCAGGTCTGATCTCCCTGTCCCAGAGCAGGTTGGCTCTGGGCAGAGCGGTTGGCATGTCTCCTGAGGGAGGCTGGTTCCTCCAGCAACGCCCCGTTAGCCAGTTGTCAGGCTAAGGATAGAACTGGACCTCTTTCCAGGTTTGGTTTGTATTCCCTGGGTATGATATTGGTGTTTCCCTGCATATGCTGAATTGCTGCCTTTGTCCTGCACGGTCTTCCAAGAGCCTTCAGGTCAATGCTTTGCCTCCTTTCCGTTGGATTCTGCTCGCTGGGAAAGCACGCCGCCGTCTCCCAGGCCTGCGTTGTGCTCCGGGAAGCTCTTGCCGTAGGTGCTGTGAGTGTTGTCTTCTCCTTGCTGCAGGATGACAAACGCTGTGAGTGGATTTACCGGGGTTCCACGCGCCTGGAGCCCATGTTCAGCATGAAAACTTCCACAGCCTCCACCCAGGAAAAGAAGCAAAGTGGACAAGCAAGGACTCGTCCCAACGTCGGTGTGTGGCGTTTTTCCTTTGGATCCTGGGATGGGAATGAATGCCTTGTGGGTCGGCGGGGGCGGGTGGGTGATTTTGGATTTGGGTTGGGTTTGGTGGTGGTTGTTTCTTAGCAGAACTCCCGGAGGATTCAGATTTACAGTGGGCTTTTCCTCCTGGCATAAAGATGCCGCAAAACCAGACCGCAGTTGCGTGAAGCGGCCAGAATCTGTTTGGGGCGACTGCCGGTGACTCGGAGCTCGGCCAGTGACCCGGTGTTGGTTGCAAACGCCACCGTTTTGGTTGCCTTCAGGGCTAAACCAATGTTTTGTGGCCAGTACGACGAACTTTGGTTGATGGTAGAGACTTTTCCTGTTGACACTTTGCTTTTTCCCCTTCCCTGTAGGTGCTGTCAGGAGCAAAGGGCCGGTCGTACAGTACACCCAGGATTTAACGGGAGCTGGCACCCAGTACAAACCTTTGGAGCAGATGCAGGCGGCCTCGCTGGCTGCACGGCCCGTTTCTCCGCAGCCCACCGAGACGGAGTAAGTACTTGAGCCCGTTCTCTGCTTCCACCACCGCCTCCTTTGCGCTTCGTCTCCGGTGCTCGGCTCTTTCCGTGTAGAGGAACCCTCAGGTGCAGGTCTCCTCCATGACTAGGCTTGTTTCCTGGTTACACACGTTGGTTTTAGTCGTTCTTCTGGGGAAAACTAGAGATAAAGGCTACTGGATGAGTAATTGGGGCGGGAGAGCTGACGGCCCACCACCCCCTAAGCCAGATGCCATGTTCTAGAGCTTCGCACTTCATGTATTTCCAAGTTAGAACGTTTACTCCTTCTCTTCTGAAAATCTGAATTGCTCCCTCGTGTCACGATCCAGGCACTGGCCCCCGGCTGCCTTGTGTCCCTCCACTCGGACTGACCTGCTCCCAGAACCCAATGACTTACGAGGCACTGAGAACTCGGCGTCAGTGGTTGGTTTCAGTGGTCACGGACCAAACCTGATAAAGCTTAACCACGGCCAAGCCGCAGACGTGCCTCCCGCCACCCGGAGCCCAAGCGGGACGTTTCCGGAGGCGCGGGCTAGTGCTGAAGGAGGCCTGGATGAAGGAGGAACTCGGCCTCG